AACAAAGCTAGGCTTGTTGCTCAAGGGTATAATCAAGAGGAGGGAATTGATTATGATGAGACCTTTGCTCCTGTTGCTAGGATAGAATCAATCAGATTACTATGTGCTTATGCCAGTTTAATGAATTTTAAACTCTATCAGATGGATGTAAAAACTGCTTTTCTGAATGGTGAAATTAAAGAAGATGTCTACGTTGAACAGCCTCCTGGCTTCATTGATTTTGAATACCCTGACCATGTCTATAAGCTTTCCAAAGCACTCTATGGTCTCAAACAAGCTCCCAGAGCTTGGTATGAGAAGTTAACTTGTTTTTTGATATCTCAAGGGTTCTGTCAAGGGGGAGTAGACAATACTCTCTTCATTAAAAGGAAGAACAATCACACTTTAATAGTTCAGGTTTATGTAGACGACATTGTGTTTGGAAGCACTAACCCTAACATGTGTGATGAGTTTTGCTCTGTCATGAAAGATCAATTTGAAATGAGTCTCATGGGGGGAATTAACTTACTTCCTTGGTCTTCAAATCCAACAAACAGATTCTGGAATTTTCATCCATCAAACAACGTATCTAAATTCTATGTTAACAAAATTCGACTTGGTGAATGTCAGACCTAGTAAAACTCCCATAGCTTCCAACCTGCATTTAGATCATGACTTAGATGGTCAACCAGTATGTGAGAAAAGATATAGGGGAATGATAGGGTCACTGCTCTACTTAACTGCTAGTAGGCCTGATATTCAATTTAGTGTATGCCTATGTGCTAGATTCCAAAATCAGCCTAAAGAAAGTCACCTTGTGGCAGTCAAAAGAATATTTAGATACTTGAAAGGTACTCAGGATCTTGGTTTGTGGTATGCCAAATCAGAAGAGTTGTCTCTCATAGGATATTCTGACTCAGATTTTGCTGGAAGTATGACTGATCGAAAAAGCACTAGTGGAACATGTCAATTCTTTGGAGGATCTTTAGTTTCCTGGTCAAGCAAAAAACAAGGGTCAGTTGCCCTTTCAACTGCTGAAGCTGAATACGTTGCAGCTGGCAGTTGTTGTACTCAAATCCTATGGCTTAGATCTCGATTAGGTGACTATGGCATCAATTTTGACAATATTCCTATTCTGTGTGACAATACAAGTGCAATTTGCATGTCAAAAAACCCTGTGCATCATAGCAGAACGAAACATATTGAGGTCAAGCATCATTTTATTAGAGATTCAATACAATCTGGCCTAATTGATTTAAACTTTATATCCACTGAATTTCAAATAGCTGATATTTTCACAAAAGCTCTCTCTTCTGAGAGATTCATTAGACTCTGTGATGAGCTCGGTCTTCGATCTCTCCACTCAATTCAACAAGGGCATTAACCAGGTTCTGCACTCTCCTTACCTTCTCTTTATTTTGATTTTGTGGCCTTGCTTTAATTACTTTTTACATGTGCTCGTGTGATTATTCATGTACATAATGGTTGAATTCCCCATGCTTTGATATAAACAAAAAACTGTTTGACTCCTTGCTCTCGGTAGTCTTCGATCATTAATACAATAGCTCTTAGGATTCTCTCATGATTAGTATAAATATTCCCCATCTATTCTCAACGCTCTTCGTCTAAGCCCCCACTGAAAAATCTCATACCATGACTGACCTATTCACTTCCTCCAACATTCCTGGGGCCATCATCACTTATGTTGGGAGAACCTTTAACGAACCTATTGAATTCAATCATCATAGGTTCAAAGAGTTCTTTGCCCCCCGCCGCCTCTCTGATCCCATTTCCCTTGATCTCTATGAATTCAAAGCTCTAGGGATAGACATTGGTCCCTTCATTCGAAATCTGGGATGGGAATTTCTACTTCACTATCCTCCTCTTGCTGCTTGTCCCTTACCGGTCAAAACCTTCTATGCAAACCTTGACTGTCAAGGCATCATCACCAGAAAGCTAACCACTCTTGTGAATGGCTATTTCATTTCACTCTCTGCTGAGGCTATAGGAGTCTTGCTCAATCTTCCCACAGATGGACCTCTTCCTCTGGCCCACGAGGATGAATTCCTCTTCTATGATTTTGACTATGAGGTAGAATACTCTCGCATAACTCAGCAACGAGTTGCAGCTAATGAAATCATCACCACTGCTGATCTCAACCCCACTCTTCGAACTCTGCACTATGTCATCACCCACCTCTTTCTCCCTCGCACCCATGGACTAAATATTGTCACAAAACTCGATCTCTGGGTGCTCTCAAATGCACTGACTGGGAGAAAAATCGACTATACTCAACTCCTGTTTGGGTCCATAGTTCGAAATGCTGAAGCTCACCTGGATGGTCGTCTTCCCTATGGGGGACTCATCACACTTCTTCTATCCAATCTTGGCATGTCACTGGATGGATACTCATCAGTTGACACTTCTGTCTATGTCCCTGCCACCACTGTCCTTACCTATCTAGGCCTCGAGCCTCAGCCTTCGAAAGGGGGAGGATCTCTGGACCCAGCAAATGCCAGACCTACCAGACCTATCAAACACAAGTCCAAAACCTCGAATCTTGAAGGTTCTGGCTCATCCATCAGAAAGAACCTAATCATTTCCTTTGAAGAGGATGAAGCTGAACCTGAACCTGAAACAGTGTCTGAGAAGGACATCAGACTGTTTGCTGAAGATCTGGAAAAAGAACTGATGGAAGGAGATGCTGGAAATCAAGAGGAAAACATGATGGAGGATGTGGCTGGAACTCAGGGGGAGCCAGATAAAAATCAGAACTGTCCCTGAAACTCGACTGAAAATCTCTGCTCTGTCGAATAAATTCTCTATTTTGAATAAGGTGAAATTGACCATAATGGTCTAGGTGTGTTCTTTTTAAAGGTACTGCTGACCATAATGGTCTTGGTGTGATTTCTAAACTATCTTATGCTCTGGTTGTTGATGTAATCCCAGTTGATCTTCATAAATAAAATCTTTTCTTGACCATAAGGGTCATTAAGTAGTAACTATCTGTTCTCTAGGTCTCCTGCATCTAAAAAATGTCATGATAAGAATCCATAACTGCTAGTGAATGAATGAATAGTGGTCATAAATTCATTACCCCAGCATGTTCCTTAATTCTCTGTATTTCTGTGAGAAAACAGTCATACACTCGATGCTTTGATATCACCTGTTCTTCTTCACAGGAATGAAAGCTCGAACGCATGGGGAGATTGTTGGGCCTTGGCCCACTGGCATCTCTCAAATCAGGATCAAAGCCCGCTCACGATTGAGCCCAAAGAGTCCTCAGTTCATCATCATCGAGATGGCTAAAGCGTCTTCGCCTTCATTCTATAAATCCCTAGCCGTCGAGAATGCCAGAAACATCAAACCCCAGACAGTCGCCACCAAAATCAATTCTCCTTAAAGCCTCTGACTAACGGTCCTCAAATTGAAGAAGAGAGAGAGAGAAGTGGTCGCAGATGCCTGCCGAAGGTGTATATAAACGACTCGAGACTGAAGAAGAAGGCAAGGGTTTCCTCTATCGGAAGAACGGGTTAGTTCTTGGGATAGCTGGTTAGGGTTCTTCTGTCCAGTGTCTGGATTCGTAGAGTTGGGGCTTTTGCCAGGGACTCTACGTGATCTGGGCGTAGCTCGTTGCCTGTTTGTTTGCTGTTCCTTTTTACTTATGATTTTTATCTTCTCGAACTCGCTGGGACAATTGCTTATTCAACCTATTTGAATCAACTTTGTTTCTGAATAAATTCTCTCAATCCTCTGAACTGGAATGGGTTGAGACCTGGTAATTAACAATATTAACCCATCCCAACAGGGCCACTGCTTTCTTCCTATTAGCTTGATTTACTCCTCACTAGGGATGGCAATGGGTCGGGTTGGGTCGGGTTTTGCCAAACCCAAACCCAAACCCATGGGTTTATCTTTGAAAAAAACCCGGGGTAAAACCCGCTGGGTTTGAAAAACTCAAACCCAACCCAACCCGTTGGGTACCCGCGGGTTCATGGGTACCCACGGATTTTGTCGTAAAAAATTTACAATTACAAGTTCTTATGAAAATTAAAGTCAAATATCAATCTCTCAATACAAATTATCCATATACAAAACACCATTCTAGAACATTCAAGCAAATCACAAATTAACTATACAAATTGTTCAACACCAATCTAGAAAACTCAAAAAAATTGAAGCAAATCACAAATTTTTCATAAATAACATGTTTAATTGAAAGCTTCTTCCTTTCAATTAAGTTTCTTTACTCTCCACTCCATAACATCAACTTCATTCTACACAATTAAAAAGAAAAAATTAGACATGTCTCCACAAACATAAATAAGATTAGTTGTTTAGAATATTACATATACCGAAAAAATTAATTATATGGGTGGGCGGGTACCCACGGGCCGGGTTTACCTAAACCCAAACCCAACCCAACCCGTTGAATAGTGAACGGGTTTAAACCCAAACCCGGCCCAAAACCCGTCAATACGGATTTTACCCGCGTTGACCGGGTTGGGTCGGGTGGGTACCCGTGGGTTCGGGTTTTGTTGCCATCCCTACTCCTCACAAGAATGTTTATAAGTTCGTTTCATTTTCTGTAAATTACATTTTTTTATAATGACGATAAACTATTATTACGCAACAAACGGAGTTGTACAGAAGAAAGAGATCACAAGGATTGATCTCAACAAACAACACAAAGAAAACGAAAACTACAAACAAAATAACAAAACAAAACACAACCCAAAGACGAAGTTAAGCCGGCCGGACCGCTTCTACTCGTCAATTACTGGGGAAGTGACATTTACCCATGCCAACAGCGCCACTGCTTTCTTTCTATTACCTTGATTTACTCCTCACAAGAATGTCTATAAGTTATTTTCATTTTCTGTAAATTACTTCATTTGATTCTCTTTGTTTTTTCAACGACATAAAACTAGTGCATAGCCCAAAGGCACGCAGTAGAGGCAATATTGTCACAAAAATGTGCGCCACTTTATTTTTTAACGAAAGTACATTCGCTAAGCCTACAAAATATTTCGAATCTTCCTATTCTAGACTAGACAGTTTTAGTGTTTTACTCTTTTTATCAAAATTACAACACAAAGTTACAAAGCCGCATCACCTCCACTCGGTTGACTCCACTAATACAAAGATGAGTCCACTTTAGTAGCAGGATCACGGTGTGCCCTAAGCTACGAACTAACCATTTCACTTACAAAACCATCAATCGCCTCAATTCAACACCGATCAAACAGATGACACTAATCCTATCTTTCCCTTTCAGTCTTTCTCAAATTTTCAGGAAAAAACATCTACCATAGTACACAACACTATTCTACATAGCTAGATTTACAGAATAACTATCATTCAAAAATGGTGGAGACCAACTGCCTTTACAACAGGCAGAAACCAAACGGAAGAAATGACAGCATTATCAAGTAAATCACATCCACCACTCGAGATGTTATGACAGAGTATGCCTGCGTGAAGTTTAACAGCTGGAAATTAAAAGGTGTAAGATTCTACTAGTGTATCTCAGCTTCAAACAGGAGTTGCTGCCCTACTTGCGATGCCTCCGCTTCTGTTCAGCTCTTTGCCTTTTTTCGTCATCCCATTCTCGCTCGTACATTCTGATAACTGATTAAGGAAGTCCACTTGCCAGAAAATAAACGATTCAGAAAGTAAAACCAACTTAAAACTATGGTCATCATACAAACCGTGGTGATTTTAGTAGTGTTGCAGCAGAGATAAGTACACAGATTAATATAGTGGAATTAATCAGTTGCCATGATTGTAGTAAAAAAAAGCATTTTAAGTGAGGATACGGATCAACATCCCGACGAGCCACCTTGCTAACCACTTCTTTACCATGAACTCTGGCAGGAGGTTCTTCCATATATCCTGCCCGTTGGATCATGGCTGTCTTGCGATCTCCCCTGTCCCTTCCATCATATGATTGAGACGATATTCCCATTCCAAGGGAAGGTGGTGGCGGGGCCACTGGAGAATATTCATCAGCTTCACCTGCTGGCAACTGCTCTCTTTTAAGCTTTCGCCTCTTAGATGTTGCAGCGGCATCTGTTTCCTCCTTCAACAAATTCACCTTCTCTCTTTCTCTTTCTCTCTCTCTTTCTCTCTCCTCCACCTAGGCATGGCAAGTTGGAGTAGAGAGTTAGAATATTTCCACACCCTATGTTCCATTTTTTCACTCATTCTAAATTAAAACTGCCAGAAGAGAGAACATGATGCATGTGGGTATCTGAGTTCTAATGCATAGACGAAATAATATCTCATTCCCATGAGCTAATATGCCTAACGTGGTTCAACCAAAAACAGACAAGACTTCAACATCACAGTGGGTACCAGCCCAATAGTGTCAAGCCTACCAGTTCACAACATTCATGCGGTAAGGGCCTAAAACCTAGACCCAACAAATGGAGAGACCAGACAAATTTCAGCTAGTCATACCAGCTGAATTAACGATAATCAAGATGAGCTAAACCACTATGTCAGTTTGATTCAAACCACTATTGATCATCTGCCTTTGATAGCAAATGCAAGCAGTGACTAACAGCTAAAGCATACTTACCTTTACACTGAGTCCATCCCGGTCTTCTCGCTTTCTCTCCCGAAAATCATCCTCTCTTCTACGCTTTGCATCATCTTGTGAGACCACAGAATTCTCTTCTGATCTTCTTCGTTCCTTCTCATCATTTCTTGGAGAAAGCCTCTGCCCATGTCTGGTACTAGCTCCAAACCTTCTATCAGAAGAGTCATCATCCCTTCTACCCGCAGCTACCGACTGGGGAACCACATGAGGAGGCAAGGGTGGCGGTGGAGGCAAATTTTGACCACGAAATCGATCATCGCCGTGAGCTTTATCAGCCGTAGATGAATCACTATAGCGCAATTTATTTCTGTCATCTTTGTTCCTTTCATCTTTTGCCTTTTCTGGGACTCTATCATGGCCCCCCCTGTCAGTACCTCTTTCTTGGCCCCTCTCAGTGGATCTCTCTCTATATCTTTCCATTGACCTATCTCGGGGCCTTTCAGGGATACTCTCATCTCTCAAAGAAGACTTGTCAGGGCGATCCAATCTTTCTCGAAAGTCTCTTTCATATTTATTTTCGCTTGCCTTATCTTTGCTTTTATCTGAGGGTTTCTCAGTCATTCTATGCAAAGACTGGTCATCATTCCCCATCTTATCAATTTCCACTGATCGAGTATCGGTAGACTTGTCCCAGTCAGAAACCCGAGCTTCACCTTCCAAATCCTTGGACTCAGTGTCGCCTCTTCGACGTTTTCCTGATCTGTCCGGTTCATCGGCAGGACTTGCTCGCTTTAGCAACTTATCACTAGACCTCGAAGTAGAAATAGAGCCCTCATGCCTAGGAGAATGAACAAGCCGAAACGGGATCTTCTGCACATCAGCGATTTCAGATGCATCTGCAGATTTGGGAACTCCGGCATCTGCCTTTAAGTCATTATTATGATAAGTATCAGATGTTCTGGCAGATGGAGCTGCTTTAGCAGATGATGGAATTGCATTACCGTTTGATGCAACTGCTGAAGAAACAACTGCTGAACCAGGAACCTCTCTATCATTGGTAGAACTTCTGCCAACAGATTTTCCAATTTTGCTCTCATCCTTAGTAGGATCTTGCTTCAGTGTCTTGGTAGCTACTCCAGCAGAAATTGTTCGTTTTGCAGAAGTCTTTGTCTGTTAAAAACATTATACTAGCAAACATATAAGAAGATGACCAACATAAGAGCAAAATATACAGTCAAGGATGAAGATTTAATTCAACAGGTAATTCAACTGGATTTCTATCTCACATTCCAAATTAAAACTTACCACTCAGCAACCATTTCAAAACTGGAGGAAAAAGACTTGTTACGCTTGAGGACTCAGACCAGATCACAAATTATTCACAAAATTTTGAGGGCAGCAGATTGGTACGTCAGACCAAGTCAAACAAAACAAGATGCAAGGAAGTTGTATAAACTAGTTTTAAAAAAGGGCAATTTTAACCGATCGAAACAGCACCCTAATTAAGGATGAGACTACGTCAATTGGCCTGCGCTCTAATTTAATTTATAATTAACTGTGCAATAGTGCGTTATTAGTGGGCTGCATTTAAGGGGACATCAATCTGATAACAGAAGTTTGATAGGACATAGCACATTACTTAGGGGCACCTATAGAATTAGATGACGAATATCTTGCTCAAACAACAAACACATTTTGAACAGTACCTCCGACTCCACAGAGCTCCTCGAAGCAAGCCTGATAGTTGATTCATCCACTTCTCTATTACCCAATTTCTCCAATTGTTTCTGATTTTCGGCTGACCTTGACGACCCAGCTTGAACCGCGACCAATGGTGCAGATAACTGACCATCTGCTGCTCCATCAGCAGAAGAAACACCCTTTAATTTCTGATGCCCAGCATCAGATTTTACGTGCGAGCCACTTTCCATTTTGTCCAGCCTCCCATCTGAAGATTTTCCTCTACTTATCTGTTCCCTTGATGAAATTCCAAAGTCGCCATGGTGGGTGCCAGTGATTCGCACCTTCGCACTGCTGACTTCATTTTGAGAAGCATTAGTTGCAGAACTACTGTGCATAGGTGCTGCAGCCCCAGATTGAGATTTTGATGCAGCTGGGGGCTTCAAGTCAAGATATCCCATGCCAAACTCTTCATCTGAAACCCATGATGGCTGCAATTTTGATAAGACAATTAGTAAAATACTAGATAAGCTCAATGCCCTACCAAATCTGCCACCTATCTTTCAGATACTAATAAGCAGAACACTAACCTTCCTAGAGGCCAAAGCAGCAGCAACCCCAGTAGCCAGAACCTTAAGATCCTCCCTTTCATCATTCTTTATTCTTGTTACCTGTAATAAGAAAAGACAAGAGGCAGGCCTTCAGTGAAAATTATGTGAAATCAAAAGAGCTATAATATATTTGTAATCATAAGTCTCTTACCCGCTTTTCAATGTTAATTCCACTCCTTTTGGTCACAGGGAAAACGCTTGAGATTTTTGTCAACAGAATGAGAGCATTCCTGATTTCCATGTACTCCAATGATTCTAGGCACTGTATCAACAGTCGTGAGATTCTCTGACTCCATTTCCAGTGCACCTAATAGCAAATAGGGAATAGTGGTACCAGATCAGATTTAACGCTGAAACATAGTGCAATCATATTGCACCCTTTGATGGACAATTCATAATCTCAACTCTGGAGGCAGATAAAATTTCACCATTATTTGCCACGACTCCTGAGAACTAACCATGAAAATACCACACATAGGCCTATGACATGACCCAAAGTAACAATTAGCAAATAATATTCACAGCAAAAGCATTAGAAGACATGCCACAGCTACAATTTGAGTAATGAGCAACAAAATGCTCGGGGAGAGGGCACTGCAGAGGGGACGAGAAAATGACACGTGGAAGGTGCTAAACAACAATGTGCTTACTAATGAACCTGTTTTTTACCCTAAACCCCTGAATCCTCTAACGCTGACAAGTACCATAACTAAACAGAAAAAGTACACCTATGTGTATTCTGAGTTCACCACCCTCCACTACAGAGCAAATTTCATGGAAAAGTCAAGATGGTAACATCTCTAAGTTCAGGCTATGCCAATTAACAAATAAATCACAGCCCCTACTTGTAATTAATACAACAATGTCAAGGAAAACTGCAGCCAAAGAAGACAATAAGACCTGGTGGCAAAAATCAGAAGTTAACACCATAAAATAGAGCATTCATATGATGGATCCACAGTTGAACAAGAAAATGCATGTCAAATGAAAGGAAACTTTAATCTAGTTAAAGAAAAAACTCACCTTAATGAATTGGCCATATGTAACACGTTGGCTGTTCGGAAACCTATAATAAACAGCAAACCCTGGCATGTTTCCACACTCACGTTCATATATAGATTCATCACTCTGGAATGACAAAGGGCTCAAAGGTCAATATTCACCAAAGAAGAGTGTAACATCTGAATGGATTTATCAAGTTATACAATCACTAGTGAAAGAGAACTTGCAGAAAGCTGCATAAGAAGAAAATATTTTGAAAAGAGCGCATCAACGGAATGTTACCTTCCAGTGGTAAGCAATCTTCAGTGTCTCGTACAAAAAACGCCCAAGTCTGCCAGCTTCATATTCAGTACAGCAACATATCATAGGTTGCAAGGTCTTGCATATGAGAACATCAATGTGGTTTACAGTATTGAAAAACGGTGTCCCAAGGGAATGTAGAGTATGTACGAACACAGCACAGTAGACAGCATCAGGCATGCTGAAAGTGCAGCGTGGAAAAATACAGCGTTGAAGGAATTCCATATTAATTTTTAAAGTATCAGGGCATGAACTCAACCATTTGTCCTTTTCATGGGTAAGCCTCCGGCGAACAGATACAACATTTTCTTCATGCTTTTGGAGTTCACTAGTCAAACGATCTAGAGATTCTTGAATGCGCTCCTTGTCTTTCTTCCTTTTGGCAATAGCTGAGCTTGAATTATCAGAAAGCTCTTCCAAAGCCTTAAGAGAAGAATACAGCTTCGCAATTTCTGACTCATAACGACTTCTAGGAACATAAAGATCATAAAGGGTTAGCCCCCAGAAAGTTGCATAAAGATCTGGAGAGAGGCTGTTCCAAGCCCTCGAAGGTAACATGGTCTTCACAGTTTCAAGCAAATCTGACCACCTGCATACAAATCAGGCATAACTATTAGATGGGAGAAAAACACGGCTGTAAAGGTAAGAAAAAAAAACTTCTCACTTCTTTGTTCCACCTAAACACCCCAACCTTCTGGCTTTTCATGCTTGCATATGACAGGTGAGCATATTATGATGGGGAAACGTGGTGTCCAGGTACGGCTAAATGCATCAATGTAAGAAATTCACAATACCCCCAAGACAACACATTACATTATAGGTTTCTTAGAAGACCCAAGATCAAGAGTCAATTTTGCAGAATATTCAGTTGGTTCAGCCTCCATATCAGCACTTGCAGCACGGGCAGCTCCATTGTTGCTTAAAGGCCAAAAAACATCAGAACTCCCCTCACACCCGAAGAGCCTCATTACTGGGCGGTATATCAGAAAAGCAACCTACAGTGAAGGAGAAGCCTGTTAGAAGCTTTTTTTTTTTTTTCTTTCAACGAGAAGCCTACTAAAATTAAAAATAGATAAATGCATAATGCTACAAACAAAACAATGCTTTTCAAAAAAGTAAACTGACAGGAATAGCCTTGAAATTGAGAGTAACTATGACTGCTGGAGAAGTATTTTAGAACATAAAATAGCACGGTATAAACACAAGAAATGATTGAGAGAGACCTCGGGATCGAGATGGTACTGGTGAACAAGATCATCTAGAGAAGGAATCATTCTTGCATAAGCAGTGGCTGGGGTCACTGCACTGCCTAGGAATTCCACAAATTGAAGAAGAGTTCCATGGCATCTATCAAATTGCTCGCAAACCATTTTAATGTATGGTGCATCTGCATTTATGACAACTCTGTAGGGAAAGTACAATCAGGTAGATTCATGGACAGCACATGGAATATAGGAGTCTGGAAATTGTATAATATATATTGCATCCAATCACCATGAGAATAATTAAACTGAAGATCTTCTCAACAGAAACTAAATAGGTTATGCTAGAAAGGTTAACATACACTGAACGGTGTTGAGCTATAAGCAACAGAAGGGGGATGGCCAGCTTTGGTTCGTCCTTTGCAAGCAATGAATCGCGGAGTCTGTTAGTAGATTTGATTAACGCCTGCATGAAAAGATGTTCGAACAGAAACATCAGATCAGTCGCCAATAAGTTAGTTGCATCTGGAAACAAACCTATCATCTTCCAGATAATTCTGTTCCCTTTTCAGAAATAATTAGTTTAAAAGCTAGAACGCAAAAAAAAATGACAACATGAAGTAGGCAGCAATGTGGCTATAATATAATGACAAACTCATTGATCAGTGCAAAGTCAAGTAAATAACCCTAAGAAGTTATACAAAAATTATTTTGCAAAATAAAAAACCACCAACAATTAGAGAGAAGAATGGTGTTCCGCTTGTTGAAATTAAATCCTCGGAAATAAGTCATCTAAATTTAAATTCCAGACATGAAAGAGCCTATCTCACTTCACAGCTTCAAATAACCACAAAGCACTTAAACTATAACTGGAACTTTGCATCCTATCTTGTCTAAGCGAATATAGAAGACTTGTAAATTCAGAGCCGTATTTTAGATAAATGACACCCAACTACTTCGTGTCTCCAAGTCTGAAAAGAGAACTCACTATATGGTAACGTATCCAGGAAGAAAAACCTAATAAAAATTATCAAAGCCCAAGCTTTTCGAAGAAAAAAAGTCTGGTTCCGAAAAGATAGGTAGGCTCATTTTAATGATTAGCTAACTAACATGAGGAACACAGAACAAAATGTACAAAAAGATTACCTTATTATTTCGTGCTACCCCAAAAGAAGTAGCCTGAAAACGAAGAGTTTCACTCCCTGCCATGGCATCTAACTGTTCCTCTGTCAGATTCTCGGTGTACTGGACATTGGCCATTTGCTGAATGAGCTCCTGTTTCAAACACAACATCCAAAATGTTGATTCCTAATTGCATCACTTAAACAGCAACATGCCATCAAGATCCAAATAGGCAAGATACCTGGAGAAGTACAAGCTCAATTCCTTGGCCTTTTTTCAATTGGTTCACAAGGTACTGGAAAAGACCCCTTAGCTCCATTGATGGATACTTCTTGCACCTGTAAAAATATAAGGTCTTCAGAACAGAATCAAGGGACTATGAAAGAATCAGGTGCTTAGACAAAAACTTGGAACCACAAACACTAAGGGGAAAAAAGGAGCAGGAAATTAGCAAACAACTGCGAAGCGGACATGCCCAAGTTATATCTGGAGCCAAAAACTGGAAGGAAAGCATCTCAAAACATGACCTTCGATCAAAATGCTGTAAAATTTGAAATTGACCTCCATAACTATCACCAGAAGTGGACTAGTAACAACACCACCACATTCGTATAAAAGGAGTTCAGAAAAAATCAAAACAAGCAGATAGACACGGTAGCAACCAGCCACATAAACAATATGTATGTACAACTGTATCCAAGAAAATCAGGAAAAGACCACTCAGAATAGCAGATTGAACAACTTTATAGACTCGAGACAGAATTCAACAACAATTATCCACCAAATAAGGAATCCCAAACATCAGAAAAGAACACAATAAACATACAGGTGACCCCAGAATGACGCCAACGACTGGAGCCAGTCCGACAAATTAAGGCCGTCATCTTTTAGCTTATCCCGACCACCCTGAGCCAAGCGCTCAATCACCACATATTCCAAGATGTCATACTCAAGCTGTACAAGAAACAGAAGCAATGAGTAGATTAAAGTTACATCGCCAAATCTTCATTAAAAACTTACTTCCAATAGCTTCCAAGCATGGTTTTCATACAGAAATCCATATCTACAAAATTACTCTAAAAATGGAATTAGACATCTTCGATGATCATAGTTCTACAATGCACGACGACATTTAAAACTGTCGAAAATGACATTGACAAGAAGACGATACAAAGGTTTTATTTACAAGTTAGCTGCTCCGATGTTGATAATTTAATAGTACACCTCAATTCTAAGTATGCATGGAACTAATTCATAACATCTCAGTTTATGATTGAATGACAAAGGAACAAATGAAATCCCTATGCACTAGATAAGGGACAGAAGAAGACAGAGGCCATCCCATTCTGATATGTACAGCAAAACTCCAGTGTAAGATCAGACTGTGTCGGCAGGTAAAAGGAGTTTCACCAGTAATAACTAATGAACAAGAGAATGCATACCTGTGTCAGATACTTGAACGCATCTACAACTGGAGTAATCATATCTTTGTACGCCTCAATCTGCAGCCGATGGTTCAGGAAGATAAGACTTCCCTTCAGATAATTATAGTTAAACTCGGTAAAGGGCTGCAATGCATGGTCCACTGATACAACACCTGATGAACAATAGTCCGAAGAACAGTCATGGGATTTGCATGTGCAAGTTTAGCAACCATCCTGCCTAGCTGTTTCAAATTTTCCTTTGCAAGTCTTTTCAAGATCCTTCTAGTATCCAACTGCAGCACAGTGAATAAGGAAACCAACAAGGAATAAATAAATATTCCTCAGCACCAAATGATAAACTCGATACTAGAGCTTTAACATCCAACGTCACACCTTAGCTGTTTGCCTTGCTGCCAAAACCATCGGATTCTTCTCATCGTCTTTTTCCCATTCGCCATATAACCGATAACGTACCTAGGGAAATAGTCAATTCATTAAGCAACATTGTCTACCAGGTCTAGCATTCAGAAATATGAACGAAACATTCTGTTAATTCATACCACCAACCTCGTATGGAAGGAGACTCATAACTTCCCAAATCTCCTGCCCAACTGCTGGATTTGCAGGAATCAACTGTAAGGAAGGAAGCAAACATGATCCTAAAGCTTCCTCAATTCTTGACCTAGCATCCCTTAGGAGCTGGCGACAGGCTTGATTTCCAGATGTAGGTTGAGAATGTGCAGCTCCATCACCGTCGGTTGCATGTTCAAGAGTTGACAAGTAATATATTCTTAAAACTCTACACACCTGCCAATAAAAGCCAGATAGAACAATGACCTTTGTAAGACCAACAGAAATGGACTAGGTAAACAACATTATTCTTGTTATCGATAGAATATAAGGAGCAAACAAACAACCTTCTGGAGCAATATTGTATCGCGATGAAGGTAAGGTCCAACAGCAGCCAACATCTGGAAGAGTTCCTTCGGAAGAGAAACTGAGCATCTCTTATGAGCACTTGCATCCATAACATCAACCCCAGCCACTGTAGGAGACTCGGACAATTGAAAATGTGACTGGCGAACAATGTCATATGCTGAAGAGATGGCCTTTTCAATGAGCCTAACCATCAGATAAAAAAAATGTCAGGACAACTTTCAATGAGCCTAGCCATCAGACAGTAACAATGTCAGGAGTACAATTCAATCACTTTCAGACAAGATTGAGATGGAAAGTCTCAAGGTGTGTAACATACAATTTGATGGTTAACACACAAGCATAAATGTAGCACTTGTGCATGGAAGAAGTGAAGTTACCTGAACAAACCATAACATATTTGAACATGTGCCACAGGATTAAGCACAGAAAGGCGATCGAACAACATCTGGGCATGATACCTGAAAAATGAAAACATAAAAATAGAAAACTATAAGAATAATTTCCAGTTACGAAGGAAGTTGGGCAGCATTAGCATCTGCCAGAATATCCAAAACCACAGACAAACATATTGTTATTCTTGTTCAAGGCTTGAGCATTAACACACAAGCATAAATCATCACAGGCAACAGTAACAAGCAATAACCCACAATTAAATAAGAGAATATGTTGCCGTCTTGGAACAATAGAAACCTAAAGAGCTGTACCGCAGTTTTGCAGTTCGATAGGATTAAAAAAGGCAGATCATTTCGGAAAGTATAATAACGACTGAAGACTTCCATCACCGGGTACTTTCATCTCACACCTATCAAAACATAACCTAAATCTTACAGTTGCTTCTCCTAAACCCTATACAGCTTCAATGCACCATATAGATCGCATAACAACAGAAAATATCTAGACAGTTAATCTGTCGTGATATTAAGACTGAAGCATTAAACACAAATTCCCAAAATAATGTACCAGTCATCGACTGAAAGGAAACCACCAAGTAGGCCCAAAGTTTGACTTTTTTCCAGTTCAGCAGATCGCTCGGCCACTGCCTCACTTTCCATATCTGAGGCAGCAAAAAGATCAATAGTAACATCTCCTGGCTTCTCTTCATCCATAAGATCCTTCCCCGTGGCAGCCAAATTTATCTTCCCTATCTTGTTGGCCTTCAAATTTTCAAAACACAAATATAAGGGAAAACCAAAAATGGAAAATTTTGAAAGCAAGCTCACCCAAAAAATTGAGAGCCTAATGTTAGCTTCAAAAAGATGCAAATCTATAAGGAAATTAAAAAGAAAAGATATGATAATATATAGAATTACAAGAGTTAAAGTTTACAATTACGAACATGGACCTTCGTCCAGGGAAAATATATGTGTCATCCATGTGTTTTTTTTTTCCCAATGTGATCATAGTATATGAACCACTAGGAAAAAAACTCTTGTGACGTCTCAAGCAAAACCATACGATTTCACTAGTAGCCCATAATGAATAACAGGTCATATTCAAATGCACGGGAAGGGGGGTTGTTGGGGGGGGGAGTGAAGTCCATCAACACTGGAACATACCTCATCTAATCGCCTGGAGGAAAATGCATGATAATGCTCTATGGCCTCATCGTCCCTGGGAAGCAAATGAGCATATCTGCAACAACAAGAACAAGTAATCATATGGCTTACTAGCGCCCTAAAACTGTTAAAACAAGGACATCAAACGGAGACACCAAAAAACAGTAGATCCAGCAAAACAGCATCATCCAAAACGCATAGAACAGCGGATTAACCAACAAACTAGAAGTAGCAAATTATCCTCCAAAAGTAATCTAAAGTCGATGCATGTCCAACAAAGAAAAGGAATAGCTTGGAGATTAGTTTCAGAGGTGCAATGTGAACTCTATATCTGATAGTTTTAGAGCTTCATCTGATGACCTCAATGTCTCTGAGGTAACCCTTAAAATTTCTTTCTTTTGATTTCAATTAATCACATCAATGTCACAATTATTAAAAAAAGAAAGGAATAGCTTGAATAAAGCAAGAAATTGCTCACATGCTGTCTAGATCAATGAAGTCCTTCTTCACCAGCAAAGCTGTTAGTTGATAGAGCCCAAAGGGTACAGCATTGTGTATTTCCATCCTTTGATAATATTGAAACTTAAAACCAAGAATCTGTGACGCATGAGACTGCCAGAGATATATATATATGAATTGAGTAAGATAACTAATAACATTTATAATGTAAGTATGAAGAGGACAACATAAAACATGTTTGTACCTTAGGGAAGATGGGAATTAGTTCTAAGAAGACTCTGTTGTCAGGCTGAAGTTCGAAACACTCTAAAACCTATATTGACGAGTAGATGTAATCAGAGACTGGGTGGTAAACTATGTGCAGGATACTAAATGCATTAGAGGTAATAAGGACTTACAACATCAAAAACACGATTGGGGTCCAAATCAAAATGGCCAATTAATGACTGCAAAACAGCATCACCAAGTAAACAAAATAAATGTGTAAGACAAGAGCAAAGACAAGTTGGATAACAGGATAAGAGAAGAATTGACTTAGAACCTTAATGATTCCTATTGTAGCGGCTGATGCATTTACAGTTGTATCTTCTGATCCCCGACAAAGAAGAGTAACCTGATGACAACTTAGAAAGTAAGTACCAAAAAGAAGGAACTAGTGCATCTACATTACTGAACAAGGCACAACCTTGGAAGCCCTGACAGCATAGGGTTTATATTGCACTATGCTAAAAAGAAAAGTGACCTAGTAAACTAAAGATAAATAGCAGTGTATAATTAGAGAGAACATGATGAATAAATGGCAACAGGTAGTACCGTATTACTAACGAGTCAATCAAGGAGAGTTATAACTAATCAATCCGACAGCATTCTCACCATCAACCCACCAAACAAAAAAAAATATTGGCATCTGTCTTATCGACTGCTTATACACCAGACAAAACAGACCACGCATATCCACACAAAAAAACCTAAACACAGAGAGAGAAAAACCATAACCCTGGGTTTCACTTAGTCATGAGAAGAGATTCGCACGTCATACAGGAGCACAAGTACACAGCCTAATGACAATAATGTACATTGTCCCAGGTCTACGAAATAAGTTGAGGGACTGGAGATAGCACCTGCTAGAACTCAACTAACTGGAATTAAAATTGCTAGACTGTGTCCCGTGGTCAAAATACAATGGTTATTGGTATATTTTCATTCTCATATACTAAAGGTGTACATGCCCTCCTGCCCACAGTAACAGTACAAGGAATAATAAAATTTAAGAACGTAACCTTAAACCTAGTTTCCTTCCCATACCAACAACCAATCCTTCTTTAGGAACATAAACCACCATTATTAAAATGAGGAAACTACTCACGTAGAATCAATCAAACTGTTTATATGGTATCATGAGATAATTTAATGAAACCAAGCTACATGAACAAAACCATCCCTACATGATGCAAGTTTTCATCAACATGGATGAAGGCACCAAGCCCTAGAGCATGTATTGAAGGAGAGAGGGGTGAGATGACTGTTCTTCCTCAGAATGCTCTAGATACACTTTTGCATTAGAAAGCAGAAAATCACAAATAAACTATGGATTCATTAGGAGTACCAACATGAAAATGATAACCAATTTCTAGCAAATTCGGGGAAGAAGAACAAGAAACATGCCGTACCAGTTTGGCATAGCCCTCACTCTCTTCTCGAAGCAGATTGAACTTTGTTTGCTGGTAAAGGAGACGAGTGTTTACTCTAACCTGAAAGCAACCAGAATATATAGGGACATGTGATGAACCTCAAATGTCATTCCAGTATTAAGTGCCAAAATTGAAGTTGATTATGAAGAGCCCGAAACCAAGGTTTCCCTATAAGTTCAGGGAGCTTGTTGTACTTTTCCTACATAACAATGTTAACTGCATACTTGCAAATATTATTTAACCACCGATTCAGGCTATCTTAATGATTCACTTACCTCCTTGCCCTTCAAATCTTGAGCCTTTATCTTTATCATTTCTCCCTCCCACAAAAACTCCTCCTGCAATGTAAGCACTATTAGTTCTCATGTAAGGCTCTCCAACTCCCCACATGCATTCCATTAACCAGAAGCACTAAAGTAACTGCACAGAGGTGCATTGGAGTCTGTCACCTGACAATCATCATGAAAGTAACAAATAAACAAGAACTCACCTCACATCGCTCCTGTAGCAGCCTCAACGGAATCAGCGCAGATTCGACCAACCATTTCGCCTAAAATAAGGAGTCAAATGCTAAATAATAAGTATATTAAAAAGATATTCCCAGTCAAATTGAAAAGAAATACATAGAAAAAAATTGAACATAAAAATGTAAATTGAGCTTGGATAGAAGGGAATGGTAGGCAATTACAAGGCTGAGGGATGGTTGTGTGGGTAAAGAGAAGAGAGGGAGATTGTAGTCTTTTAAAACCCGTGGGAATAAACTTCTTGGGCAAAAAGTATGTCTGGTTTCTTTTTCTTTTTTTTTTTTATTTACTTGCAAGACAAGCAGAAGCAGAAGCTCAAGATACACATGTTAAAATACAGAAACAGATCAGAGCAAAAATCTTGGGGTGGGTGATCAAGAGTCCAATTTGAAATTCTTTGTTCATTTTTCAGGGGAACTTTTCTCGAAACCATTGCACTTCACAGGCAACTTACACAGAATCAAGTCAATACACATGAACCACCAATTATATGCTGATCAGCCAAGCGGTTTATTATTATTCATCATTCTACATCAAGTGAGCTAACAGTCGTGCAATTGCAACGACCCGGTCTGGATCACTATAAATCAAGTGAAACCATGTTCATGCAGACTGCACTGCAGAGATCCAACAATAGCTTAGATCATTCTACAAACAATAGATAATAAAAGGAAATCAACTTCTTAACAAGCTTGAGCTTATTCAGTAGCTGTCCACTATATGATTGCTATTATAAGTAGCTTCGAAATACTTGAATACACAGAGATCAATGCTGCAGTTGTTCTCCACCTGAATGACTTTGACCAGCGACATGCACATCTACATGTGTGCTATAGAAGAGGCCCGTGATGTTTATTACCAAAATCATTTGAGCAAGTAAGAGCCTAAAGCTTCGGCTGAACAAATACTTTTCGCACCCTTAAGATTCCTATCCCTTCATTCACAACATCCAATTCCATTAAGCAACCAAAAACGCTCTCAAAAATCTTATCCAGCAACTATTCCACAGAGGAAGGCTCTATCCAAGCCTTTCCTAGTCAGATATCCACCACTATATCACGGACATGCTCAAGATCCTCAATAACAGATCCCAAAACAGTTTATAGCACCATTTACTAATCAGGAACTGCTACTTACCAACTTTATGAGACGTGCGCGGTAATCTCCAGGCATTGTAAGCTGCAGTGAAGGGGATACAAATATGTCAATACATATAATTGAACTAAGAAGATGAGAGCTATTAGTGCACCCACAAACGAGAATCTGAAATCCTGCACAGGAAATATAATCACGCACAGCACACCAGGACTATATTCAAGTTAGAACTTTCACAACTCCTTTCATGGCATTACTAAGATTCTTATTAGGAAGAAGAAAATAAAAAGTGTATATTTTCATGGCATTATTCATGTGCAAGGTTCCATATGATATAATCATCACATAATCAAGTTGTATTACAGATGTCCAATCTGTTCTTGCCAAAATGAGACCATCCAAGCACTACCACGCTTCAATATTGTGGTGAAATACAACATATAAACAAAATCAACTTCTAAATCAGACAAACACTGAGTCTCTATCGGGTGAGATACAACAGAAAAATAACCAATGAAACAAATGGCAAAGTTAAATTACTCACGTCTAAAGCCATTTGGGTAATTATATCAGCAAAGGTAGAGCTCAACTCGCCCTTTGACAGCGAATCTGCAAACACCACTGAATCCAATGCCAGTTTGCACTTCTGAAAAGGGAGTTCTCCCCGAACCTAGAAGAAATTGCCGCAAACATGCATCAATATACAAAATATGCAACATGAAACATGGACGTGCGGCTTTTGAAAGAAGTTCCACATAGATACCATAGTCCAGCTGAGCTCGTAGAGGAATCGAAGCATGGGCACAGGGTCAGCAACACGATAGTTTGTGTTGCCACTTTTCCATTCCCGAAGATGGTCTTCTGTAATATACAGACACTCCAAAGGAGGGACGGACATGTTGCAACAGTCTAGGGGAAATTACCAAAACCTAGGAGGTGAAAAATGAGGCGCGTTTTAGTAGACAGATGAGAAACAAAGCAGTCACCGCGTTATCAACTGATAATAAGGAACTCGATATACTTCGCCCAATCCAACTGAAAGAACTAAGAAGTGACGTAATCTAGGGCTTCTGAGTTTGAGCAATGGCGTTTGAGGATGCTTACAGTATAACTAATTCCCTTTCGTTAGAGCACTTAGCATTGAGGGAGAGCCACAGGCGGACCCCGAGGAACTTCAACCGAGACACTGCGTCACAGGAACGCTGCAACCGATGGAGGTGCCGCCTGAAAGATGAGAGAACGGACGGCGAGAAGCAGCGACGAGGAATCCCTAGTATCGCCTAGCTGCAATTCTCTTTCTGAGCTCTGCTTTGCTCAATTATTTTTCACAAAATTTCAGTCTTCAGAACGCCCTATACAGCATTCCAAAAGACGCCCGCGGGGCACAAGAAATCTCTGCTTTTGCGTTATATCGAATCCAAATCCACGGTTGGACCAGAGAGGAATAATGCAAAGTATTGAGGGTCGATTCAATGGTTGCACCGGTTAGGGTTAATTGACAAAATAACTGGTTATTTTGTTTATGAACATAAACCAAAATGGTAATTTTGGGTTGGATGGGAGCAAAAAAAAATTGATAAAGGTGATAGGTTTTCATTTTTCGGTTAGTTACTATTTAAAGAATTTGAACATGTGAACTCAAGATTACCCAGCAACGACATCAAATACTTAATCGTGTGATCAAACTTTAAATTTGTAAGTCGATGCACATTCATGCTTATCCTAACAAAGCCAAGTATAACTATGTTAGGGATGTAGTAAATTAGTCTGTCGTATTCAAAGGAACCTTAGGCTTACCATTTCTTCGCTCGAAACTACTATCTAATCAAATCAAAAGGTTGGCGGTAGAACTAACCTAACCTAACTAACTAAACAACCAATCAAGTGGTTGGAGACCGCTAGAGATGAAGGTTGTCTAGGGTTGATTCCTTCTAGCTATAAGTTGTTACGGGTGATAATCTAATGGTATCTTGAGGTGCGGAGGTCACGAAGGTGGGGATCATCTCAATGGTCATGCTATTGATTCCCTCCTAGCTAGGATAGTCGATCTAATGTCACCTCAACCAGTTTATCCAACTAGGGATAGGTTCTACCTCCTCTAAACAGCTTAAAACAGTCCGCACACAAGTCGGGTAGGTCGATGGTCATGCACCTACACGAAAAGCATCAACTAGGTGAGAATCTAACTAGAAGGGGATGGTCACCTCGACCTCTAGCTAGAAGTCTAGGTCATACAATCAAGGTAAGAAGCATTCACGCACATCTAAACCCTAATTAGAAGCGTTAAGCACTCTAGTGAAACCCAATTATACCATGAATTCATATGCAAGACAATGATAATCCCTTATTATCTAGATTGCAACTAAGGCAAATGGGATACAAACAATGCCCTAATAATTGATGTCTAAGGCACCTTTGACCTAAGGGGATGGTACTCTCACCTAGGTTCAGAACAAATCAATCACAATTAAGCAAGAGATTCTTATGCACAAACATCAATAGACATAGAAAAATAGGTTAATAATCATGCTTACATATAACTCATTCACAAACTATAAGCTAGGGTTCATCTTCCCTAAACAACCATAAGGATTCAAGTTATAGAGAGATAAAGAATATACAAACTAAGAAGAGGGGAAATTCTTGGAATCATCTTCTTCTCCTTGGATTGCATCTTCCTCCTTGATCCTTGGATGTGTTGGACCTTTCCCAAGCTCTATCAAGGTGTTTCTCCCTCTTAAAACTGCTGAAAGCCCTAATTTTCTCACTTTAGGTCAGCTCTCTCCTTCTCCCTTCAGCAGCTCCTAAACTTATAGACTTTGGAGATATCATACAAGTTTAGGTTGAGGGCGATAGATCGCGACCGTGACATGGGCGTGATAACCGCGATCTTGCTATGTAATCATTTTGGGTAGGCAGGACAAGAGATCGCGTCCTCAAGTTCACGACCGTGAACTATGTCTCGTGGTCGTGATCTTCTCGTGACTTCAGATATCGGTGGTTGTGCTCCGCTTGTTGGTACTTTTTGTTCTCTTCTTGATGTCTCCTTCTGAAGTTCAAGGCTAGGAGCCTCGAGATCGCGGTCGTGATCTTCCTCCTTCCTCCCGTGATCTTAAGCTAGACTTGCTGGTTGTGATTCTTGGCCATAAACATGCTCCTCTGGTTGCAAACTCTGTGTTTGCACCCTTTTTCTACATATTAACCCCATTTTCTTTCCTTTTCGTTTGTAACGTCAAAAGTAACCTAAAGTGACATGATATGAGTATGACAAAAGGAAGAGTTCTAAACTACAAATTACATTATATAGATCTAATTATGCTCAATATGACATAAAACACCTAACATCTAGTGATGTGTCTCTCTAGCCAAATTAAGGAACATTGTATGCCACTGTCATGAAGGACCAACCAGAGGGCATCATAGTTGTGCTAGAACATCTCGTAAGATTTTAGATCATGGGTTCTACTAGTATTTGATCTTTCGAGACTCTTATAGACCACACAATCATATGGTGCATGTTTATGCCTTAATGGTGTATCTAGAAGGGACAAAATGTCTCAATCAATATTTCTCCATATATAAGTACTTGACATCTAATTTTTTTAGTTTATGGCGACATTCTCATCATCCTTAGGTAAGATGTATATTTTCATTGCAATGGACTATGCTCCAAATGGTTAGAGGCTCGAGCTCTCCCTACGAACAACATTCAATCCACGACAAAGGTTCTTCATAAATTGTTTGCTCGCTTTGGTGCAATCGTGCAATCATTATTAACCTTTCAATTTGATTATAAGGAAAATTCGATCAAGTTCTTACTAGACTTGTATTTGTCACTAACTATCCATCTCATACCAACCTCAAACTAGTGGGCATGTTGAGCTCACAAATTGGTAGCTTAAACAAATCTTGCAAAAGATAGTAGATAGTTCCCGCAAAAACTGGTTTACCAAGCTATCAACAGTCTTTAGCCATACCATATAACCTACAAAAATCCTATCCGCAATTTCTAGTAGATCTTGAACATAAAGCATTATGGGTCATCGAAGAACTTAGCCTTGACATAAAACTTTTCAAAACTATAGGAGTTTAGGTTCCACGCTAACGAAAGTTCCCATCTATAAAAGAACGTAATAAGCACATCAATGACTCCCAAATAATATGGAAGTATTCTAACCCAGGGATCATTATTGCTCTTTGACTTTAGTCGGTGAAGTTTTTTTATTTCCGACATTTCCTTTAGGTGTTTCAGCTTTCAAAGATTACCTTGAAGAAACCATTGTTGATTGTAGAGAAGAAGATGAAGGCAAAGGCTTCGCCTCAACAAGTGATTGCACATCAAGACATCTCGATCTAGTAGCTCCTACGGGTGAGGCACAACAGTAACTTGCTATATTATTTTTTTCTTTGACAGTGGCTCGCTGGATTTCTTTACTCTTAAACAGACTTCATTAAATCAAATGAATTAGTGGGTCGAGAGGCCATACATAGCGTCAACAATTGACTAGTCAGAAATGTGGTTGAGGCATGATCATCCCAAAGAACAAAATAACTTAGGGGTGTAAGCTTGACCCTAAAGACCCACCAACCTGCCCCGAGCCCCCAACCTGCCAAGACCATGAGGATCGGGTTTGGTCAGTTTGTCTACAAGGTTAGTTTAGAGCTGGGTCATCTTTTGACCTTGTAAGTGACTCGATTCTAACTACACTCTCAATGGAAGGCCAAGTTGAACCATCAATTGGGATAGTATAGAGCAAGTACTTTTCAACAAACTACAAATTATCTAGTGGTAGAAACATTGTTTTAAGCTAATGTACTAAATAAACAAGCAAATAAAATAAGGTCGAATGCAATGGAGAAAGCTTCACTTGGATGATTATCCCCTTAGTCCCATGCTGAGTCATTGACGTCATACTCTAGTGTGATTCACATATAATATATACCGTTAGGAGATCAAAGCTAGTTAGGAATCCCTATTCGAGTTTTCCTAACCCGCCTAATTACTCTAACTAGAGAGGCATACCAAACTACCAGATTAGGCAATTAGGAAAACCAAATCCATTCCTCGGGCGATGATACTGAAAGATGTAAAGAAACCAATCACCCTCATTCATGACCCCCATATGATGATTGAATAATACCCTAAACTACCCTAAGAAGATCTTATCTCTCTTGGTCCAACTCCACAACCTTATTTCCATCAAAACCAACTATGCTTTGCCTCTGTAATTCCAAAACTCGCTCCTATATGATTCCATAGGCGCAGACTGTTCCTCGTTTGGACACCAATTGATCGAGTTACGACCAAAATACAAATATGTCACTTTTCAAAGTACTAGGTACCGAACAAGTTATTTTCCAGTCAACACAGCTGACACCGTCCTTTATAGAAAATTACAGTATTGATCCATCAACTTTTTGAACTAATAGTAATGGTACTGAACTTGACAGAGTTTATGCCAAACTTTCCAAACTCGGTTCTCCCTTATTCGACATCGAAAATCATTTTTGTCAGGACGTGGACGCTTTTGGGATCATTCCCTTTTTTCATGGTACCCAGCATTTGAAGTCTTAATGAATTCCATGATGCAGGTCGGATACAGGTGGCCGCCATTATTAGGGGTGGGCAATGGAAGAGTTGGGTGGTTTTGGTCTCAAATTGACCCACCCGCTTACTAGCGAGTTGGAATAATTGTGACTCGCAATCCACCCACATTCTTGTACGGATTGGGTTGGGTGGGTGGCGGATGGATGCGGTTGGTTCGCGGGTCAACCCGCAAAAGCAATTCTCTAACTAGTCATTAAAAAAGTTGACTAATATTTATAATAAGTTCATAGTGAATTAGTAAAACGTATCAATTTAGACACTTCTCACTTTGTCTCAAGTGAATCCATGTAGTATTTGGTTCAAAATCTTACTACTCTATCAACCAATTGTAAGGAGAAAACTTAATGCATTTTGTGATTTTGATACAATTAATAATTTATGGGTAATTAACATAAACGGTCATAGAACTTTGCACTTTGTACAAAACGGACACAATTTTTTTTATTTTGCACGATTCAGTAACACAACTTTGAACTTGTACAGAACGCTCATATCCGTCCATCTCCATCCAAAAGCTTAACACAAAACCGATGTGGCTTCGAACTAAGCATCTTAGTCAGCAAATAATTAATATAGTATCATAAAATTATATTATACTAATTTACAATTGAATTACAAAAAAATAATGGAAATTCTCAAATAGCTTCTCCTCCTCTCTCTCTCTCTTCTATCTTCGCCACTGACCTATCTCTACGCCATGGGAATCAATCCATCCATTTCAATTCGTAATTAACTAATGATAATAGAAACGTCTTGGCACCATACAAGCTGGGGAGATAAGTCTACTCCAAGAACGACTCGGAACGCGTCGCCAACAACGTGACCCGCCAACCTCTCGTGT